TTATAATAGGAATGAGAATTTGAAATAAATTAGGCACAGTGTGAGGTAATGAAGGGGTGGGGGGCACATAAAAACACTTTAACACTTTAAAATAACTAATGGTCCGTTAGTTATGCTATAGTTTTATTGCCACATGTATTATTCTTGATTCCAGCTAGATGACAAAGTAAAATGATTTTTTTTAATTAAGGATAATCAGGATAATTAATACTTTGGTCAAGAGAAAAAAAAATTAATCTATGTTTTTCATTTTCAATAAACAATTCAAGTCATTTGAACTAAAGAACATCTGATTTCAGACATGAGAATGTTCATCTTTTTAATAGCAGCAAAAAGTAATATTTTTGGGGGGATATTGGACTGTTCGAAGATTAGACTCAGAAGAAAATGCAATAACCTACTAAATTATTAAAAAGCTGACAACTAAACTATGCATTTAGGCTCTCCTTGTTTTGTAATAAAAAGTGGAATTGTTCAGATAGCTTAATTTATGTGCACCTAAAAATCTAGATTAATCACTCTGGAAAAAAAAGTTACATTATTGTCTGTCCATGTTGACAATAGCTGCAACCTAATGTAACTTTGACATGTAACTGCACAGTCTCAAAGAAATGAAGGGATCATTGGTTTAAAGAATGCAATCAATTATCTTTACATGGCACTGATCTCTGTTGCACTCACCCCAACCACAATCATTCCTTCTCCTCTGCTGAGTTTCACCCCCCCCCACCCCCCCAGCATCACTCTCCACCTGCTCGTGCAGAGGATACATGTGCAACAATTACTGCAGTGGCATAGCAGACCTGCAGTGCCAGTTGACAGTACACAAACACAGAGATACAGTCAGTCTACTGCGGCTTGTTTCCCTGCCTCCACCAGCCCACAGTGCCAGCTGCAGCCCGCTGTCCACCAGCACGTGCCAGGTTGATGTCCCACAGGGGCCATGTTTGGCATCTATGTGTCTGTTTAAAGGGCTTAGTGTAAAATCCCGTCACCCAGCTGCTTCCACTGTCAGATGGTCCCAAAGACCCACATCTACAGATGTACAGAGAGCAGAGGGAGCAGAGCACACATAAAATACCACCTCAGTTTGCTACAGTCTGCATGTGTGGACAGAAGGTGCTCACAACCTTCTCTGGTCTTATACTGTAAAATAAATGAAGCGGTCCAGCCTTCTACATTTTAGCCGTGTTCTTTCCTTGTGCATGTTTTCAGCCATTTTGAGCTCATTGTAGTAGTACTACATGTTTACAAATGTAGTGCACTAAGATGTCCTTGGCTGTTGTAGGGAGCTACTTTAAAAAAAAATTTTGCAAGTAGCGGGGGGGGGGGGGGGGACTTGGCATCACACTTCTACTACTACCACCTTGTACCAAGAAATGTCAATAAATAAATGTTTTGATTAAACACAGCAGAGGAAGGAAAAGAAAGTGAAACAACTCCAAAACCAAAATATTAGCTTAAAAATTTAAACCAAATCGACAAAGCAGTGGTTACCACTTGAAACATTATACCCACCATTTCATTTCGAATTCATGAACATTAATATGCCGTTATAACAGTATCCACTCTTCAAGTTTTTCCACAAGATTTTGGAGCACCAAAACTGGTAAAGTGATTTCTTTATGGACCTGGCTTTATGCATGAGACCATCCCCAAACTGCTGCCACTATTGTCTGAAATTTTATTGTATGCTGTATCATTAACAAAATATTAGGCCATATGATAAAGCAAAAACATTGTATGTCAAAAGAACTGACTTAGAATTAGGGCCAGCACAAGATATTTTCATGTAGGTAGACTCAGAAGAGTAGTCCTCATTTGGTGGTGTAATAATTTGACCAATTACAGTAAGTCACATGTTGGATGCTGGACATTCAGCATTATCATTGCTAATAATCGGAGTCAGCACATTTGGTATTTTATAATAGGCTATACAAATGTAAACATAAGCATCTAAAAGAAATGTAGATACGATGCATCTGCAGAATATTCTGACATCCACATATTTAACATCCTCCATACCCCTAGAGGATCAAATGACACACCAGCCAAACCCTTCTTAGAGTCATTTTACAGACATCCATATATTAATATATTCGTGAGCATTATCAGCTCCCTTCCCCTCTCCCGTTGTGACTCCAGCACTTCTGCAAAGCTGTGTAAGTTGATCCGATCTTTCCGACAAGGGAAGGTCCCATTAGCACTAGCCAGGGGTACCCATGGGAGTCAGGAGGAACAGTGTCCCACCCCACCACCACCCTGCCCGGCATCATGACATTACTCATGAAACACCCACATTTTGATCTGGCTAAGATCACGCTGCCCTCTCATTGGTGGAGACTGGATCGGCCCAGAACAGGAGATGAGGATCTATTGGTATGGAGGGAGGGAGAGTGATGGTAGGACGGCAAGGAGGCTGATGAGGTTATCGGATTGATCGATCAGGCCACATAGACGAAGGCAAGGGCAAGTGCTGCAGGGTTTCAGAAGGCTGTTGTTTCTCTGTAAATGGCAACAGCTGTTTTGATTTGTGTAGGAATTGTTTGCATCAGTTTTCAAGGCTTCATTTATATCTACTGCTGATGAAAACATGCAAGTTGACCTATTACATGATCCCTGAAAAAGGCCTCTTCTACATGAAATTTACATACTTTTGGCGGCCTTGTTAGCTTCATCTCTGGCAGTTGGTAGTTTTTAGCTTTGTACCAGTTAAAGTTATTCACTGGACTTTAACTGTTTAAATGTCAAAATAAAAGCTGGAAAACTTGAGGCGACTGCAAACTTTTTAAAGGAAACTGATGTTATGCCCTTCCAGCCGCAGTCACCCTTCGTCAGCGTGCAAGCTAGCAATAACAGGGCTACCATCAAGCATAGGTGAAATATAATCCCAATTTCCTTTTTTGATTTTTCCTCTCGCCTCAATCAACCCTGAAGTCATTCCAGCCAGCCATTTTAAAGAATATCCCAAAGTTCTTGTTCCTGCACAGAGAAGCAAGAATCGAGGAAGCTGCCTGGAGGAGCTATGAGTGAGGACACACAAGTGCATCATTCACTGAAGTCTTCTGTAGAATGATGCAGCCCTTTATTGAAAACCAGTTGGTGATTGGGTGCTTCAGATGAAGGATCAGAGGAAAGGACGTTTCAGGTCATCTTTGCTTGGTTCCCATTTTCTCACATGGACATGTTGAAAGCTCTGGAGCAAGTGACTTAAGTGGACCTCAACTATAAATCAAATTTAAATAACATTTTTTGGTATGTGAATGTCCAGCTGCTAACTTGCAGTGGCTCGATGCCTCCTGACATTTTAGCAGTGAGAAAGCTAAATATTACTAGCGTGATCAAGATGTGTCAAAACTGCTTTAATAAGTGGGATGATTATGTAGGACAATCAAACATCCACAAAAAAACAAACAAAAAAAAAAATTTTGCTTTGTACAAAATTGTTCCTTGTAGAATAAAATTTATACAATATGCATATTTAACCTTTGACACCAGCAGTGATGCATCTTTAATTCTTTATTTTGCCGTGTCCCATTTACAGAAAATGTTCTGAGACAATAACATATGAAAAGGGGTGAACGTCATTTTGAACTAAGTTGGTAACTTAAAAAAAACAAACAAAAAAAAAAAACAGTATTGTAGCAAATTAAAAAAAAAAAAAATTCTGCTTCCACTTATATTGTTCCCTTAAAGCCTTTAAACCAAACATGAAGCTAATGCATGATATCCACATCTGACCTAGTGACATCCACAGAGTGCCATGGACAATTTTTTTTAAATCCTCCATTGCCGATTTATTCCAGAAATCTCCATAATAGCAAAGTGAGACAAGGAGAGCACTTTACTCTGGCGAATAAAACACGCCACAGTACACCACACAACGTTTTAAAGAGTTACTTTCCTTAATAATGAAAACAAACCCACAACATAAAAAGATTGGTTACACAAATAATGCATTACATCAAGGCACCTGAAACAAAAGGGATTGTGATGGGTTTATAAATGGTTTGAAAATGTTTTAAGGCCATTATCTTGACAGCTTTTTACCGCTGCCCACCAAAAGCTACTGCCAAATTTTTTAAAGAAAAAAAAAATCAAACTTATTTCACTAATAGAGAGCAAGTTAAAATGACTAGTGTATAGGGAAAGGAATGAGTCGGACAGCAGCTGCAATGCTCTCTAAAGACAAACCTTCTGGCTACACCCACATGTGTGATGTCACTAGGCATTCATCCCATTTGCAGCCAATGGCAAGACACCTGCTATGACATCATTGGAGGTGTGGCCAGAAAAATATGACCATAAACTGTTTGTTCTGAAATACAATTAGGAAAAACTAATAAATTGCCTTATAATCTTCCTGACACTGTGAATAGACATTGCCCTCCCAAAAAATGAAGTGCAAAACAAATTAAATTTATATGCACCTAAAAACTAGCTGTGCCACAACTGTGGCTGTGACAGATTATAAGGAAAACAGGAAAGGCTTCCCCATGACAAACCATTTATAAACCCTTCAGTAATTCCTTCAACATGGTACCTCATTGTAAATGTTCTGTGAGACTCTGGATATGATGTTATAAAACCTGCCTATTTCAACTGGCATAAATAAAAGGAATGGCATTGTAAAAAAAAAAAAATAATATTAATCATAATAATAAAAATGTGTGACTTGTCCTTAAGTTACTTATTTCAAATATACACAGCGACTCCTTTAGTATTTACATGTATGTACAGAGTATTCATTTCTGTTTTGTTCAAATACCTTGAATAGCGTTGCTGTGAAAACTGTTACTCTCTACATGTCCACTTATATCCCTTTGAGATTTGAGAACAAGGAGGTCAAACTGGGCAGCACGACTTGGAGCCTCAGCACAGCTCTTAGAAAGGCACTTGCTACCAACTCAAATACTGCAAAAAATCCTCAAACCGAGCTTTCAGCCAAGACAACCGAGAGGAGCAAGCAAAACCAAAAAAAAAAAAAAATGGAGCAAAATTAAAAAAAAAAAAAAAATGGAAGGCCACATAGTAGGCACTGGGGTTTCTGTCCCCCTCTCCCCTCCAGGCCAAGTGTTTTAGTAAGGCTGGCAAAGCTGGAAAGAGACACAGCAAAGGGAGGGTTTCCTCTCTTAGTGTGGCTACAACAGTCCACTTCCCCCAAACCCTTCCTTTAATAACACCCCCCAGACACTGAACAGGAGCCCGCTGACAGTTATACGAAATCATATCTGTAAACAAAAACAAATCTTTATAGTGTTTTTTTTCAATGATTCATCATTTCTTAAATGATACAACTCCATAAACAAAAACTGCAGAGAGCTTCTTTTGCCTCCTGAATAATTGTTACATTTCAGGTCCTTCTGTACATAATTAAAGAAAAATTACATAAACAGAAGCAACAAAGGATGTTCACTGTGCTCTGGCCTCTCGAATCAAAAATGGTTCCAGGTGACAGTGACGAAAACATAAAGCAAAGAATGGCTTATTAAAACACAAAGCCTTTTTCTTTCCAAAAGTAGTATGAAAATTAGAATAGACGCTGCCTTGCAGCTTCTCTCGCTTCCACATTGCAAGTCCCTTGTTTAAATTTCTTATACACAATGGCCTCTGAGATCTTTCTGACCAGTAAAGACAGCACTGACATTTTTCCAGCGGTTGTCTTTGGGGCTGTAGCCTGGGGTCCGGTGGGGTGCTTTGAGGAGTGAACTTGAGCTGTGCAGGGTACAGATCACTCCCCCACTGGACTGCACTGCAGTCTTAGAGTATTTATAAACTGGCTGCTTTCCCGCCTCCGCTCCACTGCACTCTTCCTCAAGCTCCAGTTCACCTTCTGTCTCATCCTCCTCCTCGTCACACGTCCGATAGGAGGGGCCCATGAGCTTTTTGCGCTCCTGCTCAGCCTCCCGGTTGCTTTCTTTCAGCTGTTGCTGCTGCCGCCGACATCCCACGACGGACCGGAGCGGCTCACACTGGTTGTTCACGTTGTCGTCTGGGTTGGATCGCGTGTTCCTCTCACGCTCTTTTCTCCGTTTGCGAGTCCACCAAACGCATACAATGATACAGAAGAGGCAGAGCAAGCAGAAGACGACGCACAGAAGAGGCACCAGGTAATCTGTTCACATCAGGATGTATGAGGAAAAAAATTTTAAGACAACTACACAGAAATCAGAGAATTAATCAGGAACATGCAGAGGCCCATGAGAAACCATTGTGGGGACACTTCTGTTAATCATTACTCACCCACTGAGTGGGACACAACCTTTGTTTCCACTTTGACCTCAATGACTGCCAGCATTACGGTGCTGTTGTGTCGTTTAGACAAGGTGCCCACTATGGTGCTGGCTGCCTCCTGGATGAGACTGTGGTCTTGTAGATCTTCTGGCTGGAAAGACTGAAGAGCCATACACAGAACAGGGAAGTTGAAAACACCAGCCAGGAGCAAGCATCAAGTTGTGTCCCAATAGTTACAAGTTGTGTAATAGTTACAATAAATCTTGTTCATCCCAAAAGTACGTATGCTTAAGTTGTGTCTTAAGAGTCTAAAGTTTAGCTAAAAGCCCTCTGTGGGATAAGTGATTATCTTAGCTGGAAAATAACTAATCTGGCCCTCTCCAAAGTTACGCCTACCAGCATATCTAAAGCTTACTTATTAAAATGTTGATTATGATTGTGTGCATACATATAAATAGGACAATTATCATTTTACATTTCCTTTTGCAGATGGATTAAATAATCAAGACGTCTACAGTAGCTGTTTCCCACTGTTTCCAGTCTATTGCTTCCAGGTGTATACTTAGTCATGAGATATCAATTTTCTCATCTAACTCTTGGCAAGAGTGAAAGGAAGCACATTTCATACAATTTCCAACAATTCTTTTAACTGTACTGTACAGCCTCCAATGACAAAACCTGTCACCTTGATCCTACTTTAGGTAACATGACCATCAAATTCTAATTTATGTGAGCACTTGTATGGTTGATTGTCTTATATATGTGGCTAGGAATAATAATACTGTGCTTAACCACTGTCAAGACTGATGCGATTCTGACTTATTTGTCAGAAACAAAACCTGGATTATGCACTTACCATTGCTACTTCTATAGCATCCTGATTTGAATGAGAGTTTTCACAGAGCAAGAGAAGGGCGTGGTCTTTCGCCAAACTTCTGGTATCGGGAAGACACCTTAGCTCATAGCAGATGTTCTCCACTGTTGTTCCCTGCACATGCACACACATATCGATCAGCAACAATACAAAAACCACTACTTGAGAACGTGTTCAAGACTGCACCAAGGAAAAAAAATAAATAAATAAATAAGAGATGACTCACTGGTGGTACTTTGTCTCTGTTGAAAACAAGTGTTATGCGGACACAGCTGTTATCCAGATGCCCGCTGTTTGGCTGGCACTTGGTGGTTGCTTGTGGAGGTGAGGGCCCAGTCATGGAACAAACCCCCCACTGATGGCATGGGGGGGAGAAGCACGTGAGGTAGCTGTGCTCCTGACACTTCTGTCCAGCTGGGCAGGACTGTTCTCTCTGGTCCTGGCCTGATAGGCTGAGCTGGCAGGGACGACGACCACACAGCACCTGGTATCATAGGGTTAAAATATTCACCTACATGCAATCTTACAAAACATTTATTATCACTATTATCCTGCATGTTGCAACCAACAAATGTTAACCATCATCTCATTTAGGGCTGCAAATAATTATTATTTTCAGTAGTGATCCATCTATGGACTATTCTCTCAGTTAAGTGAGTCATCATTTTGTCTAGAAAATAGTCCATCATTTTCCCAGAACCCACGGTGACATTTTCAAATTGCTAGTCTGTTCCACACAACAGCCCGCAATTTGTTTGAGACAAAAGCCATATAAAGAAATCTCATCAATCAGTACCTCAGAACAATCTGAAATGTAATCAACTTTATAACATTCACATCTGGAAGCTGCTCAGTACAACCACAGACTGAGCTGGAGTCTCTGGAGTAGTTGGGGGTTAAGGGCACCACAGTGGTGTTAATGTTACAGGCTTATTTCCTCCATTAAAGGGAGTTTTTCCCCTCCCTGTTGTCACCAAGTGCTTGCTCAAGGGGGATTTATTTGGTTTTTCCTCTATAATATTAATAATAGTACGGTCTAGACCTGACTTTGTAAAATGTCTTGAGATGACCTTTGTTGTGATCTGGTGATATACAAACAAAACTTAAATCGAAATGAAATTAAACGCATTATGTCACACTTTGTATCTATATCTACTGCGCTACACTTTGGGAACAACTGCTCTTGTCTTAAAGGGAACAGTAGCTACCGTAGAGGTCCTCTATCTGAGCACTGTTAGCAGTTCCGTTTCCTTAGCAAATCAAGCATCTGCTGTTTGTAAGTGAGGAGTAGGAGACATTTAGTTGCAGTGTGTCTAGAAGAGCCCCATTACCTTTGTACAGTCCACTTTGCCGTCTATGCAGTAGCAGCTGTTGCACTCCTCCTCCCAGCGGCTGCCGTGGGGAAACTGCAGTCCAGTGTAGTGGCAAGTTTTCCCAATTCCTATGACTGCACAGTGACAGAAAGAGACATGTTTAGCAGGATGTTTGCATTAAGTAGTGACTTAATGAATCATTGAACACAAACGCTGAGGACTTAAACTACAAAGTGGAAGGATTTAATAAATAAGTATGGACTGAATGAGTAAGTCAGGTGTATTTACACTCCTGGCACCGGGCTCCAGTTCTACCAAGTGGACAGATGCATCGGAAACCGTTGATCTCATCCACACAGGTGGCTCCGTAGGCACAGGGTGATGACTGGCACTCATTTATGTCTGTGAAGAGGAAAAGAACCTCAAATTTAGGTTGACCACCCGGCACAGAGTCCAAACCTTTTTGGCTAGTGTTCAACTGTGTGAATTTTCAATTCAGAGTTGAACTTGACATGTAAAATTGGCAGTTTGTACTTTGCCCCTGCAGGGTGAATCCACTAATCACAACAATATGACTGGAATGAACAGATTTAGCTGCAAAACGTTGCTGTTTTAAATGCTGGGATTAATGTCAATTTACAACCCTTTAACACTGGCTTTATTATATTTATGAACTCTCAGCACTTTAACCAAAATTAATGTTCACTCATATCAGATTCTTTGTGTACTATTGCCCTGAGGTACGAGAAAAAAAACGTCACACTGGGAACCGTGACTATTGTCATCCTGATTTCACATGAACACAGTCTGGATCAGACTCTTAAATTTGAGCCCAACAGAAAAGGTGAAAGCTATTTGGCCAAAACAAAGGAGCATAGAAAAAAGAATTTCAGGGTCACTGGATAATTTGTCTTGTGTGTGCAGTATGACTGAGTGAGTATGGAGGAGGGATGACCTCTGACCCCCATGGCGTTAAAGGCCCGAGAAAAAGGGAGAGGGCGGCATTTAGGTTTCCATCTCCTCATTCTTTTTGCTCCTGCCATCTTTTGACCCATGCTCCTAATCATACTGTTATCATGGCTATATCGGATTCTTGTGAATAAACAACGAGGCTGCCCAATGATTTTTATCTTAGATGGGGTTTTGCATATTTGCACCACATCAAAAAGCATACAAGTAAGTAAACTCATAACTCACTGATTCGGCAGTCTGGTCCGGCAAAACCAGGGGCGCACTCACACCGAAACCAGTTGATTCCGTCCACACAGATACCACCATTGTAACTGAGGGAAAAAAGAAATGGGGAAAAAAAAAAAAAAAAAATAGATGAGGCCGTAAAAGAGCCACATCCTTTCCAGCTACAACAAAGCACATTGTGTTTGTGTGATAGGGATAATGGGAGTCACAAAGATCAATTCAGCTCATCAATACAAGCCTGCACCTTTCAGATGCTAAGGCCGTGTTCGGACTGAGTTTCAAAAAAGCTCTCCCCATTCATTTCTATGGTGGACTGCATTCACCTCAGCCGACACAGCACTGCAGGGGGCTCCAACAAAACTGACACAACCTGTGCAGTAAAAAAAAGTTGGATGTGGTTCAAATTTTACCACACCGGATGGTGACATCATCCGGCAAAGGCACTCCACTGACCAATTGCGTATGGGGACGATGGGGATCTGTATGCCCATGGGAAGAAAACTCCTTTGTTTACCTTGTTAGCATGAGCATTCATTGCTATTCACTGCCACAAATAACACGCCATAATGACAGGCCATGCATTTTCATTAGTACTGGATATTAAACTGTTTATCAGTGCAGACACACTACTGATAGGATTGCTGCCAAGGTAGAGTAGGCTACATTAGCAGCATGGCTAACCAAAACACAATGGAAACTCCCAGGCTGGAAAAGTGAATGAAGCTCATGTTGACTTGTCACAATGTGGCTGTATTGTACATGCCTACAACACTGCCCCTGCAACCCCTCACCCCCTACCAATGCAGCCCCTTGCGTTAAATACAGCGGGAAGTTGCATTTTTACCAGATCAGTCTGAACACCCACTAATAGGGATGTCCAGTAACTCCCCTCACCTCCCTTTATCATGCCTCTCTTGCTCAAAGCCCAGCCCCCCCATCAGGCTGCACAGAGAGAGTGGATACACTGCCCCCTTCATCTGCATTCACTATGGGGTAGGTGGAAGGTGGAACCCCCCCCAAAAACATCTCTCTCCACCTTTCTATCCTATTAAAAAAATCTACCTCACAAGTGATGCTTTTTTCAGGGTCGATCTAAGGATAACTTCCAATGCTTTAGTGGGCCTCCGGTCCTCCACCCTACAAGGTCTGTTTGAAGTGTATAGATGATGGAGGGAGGGAGAGATGTATTAAAATGGATGAGGGTTGCAGTCATCTATATCTGTTAAAGAGAAGAACCAAAGGCAATGGTTATAACTGAGCTGTTACTGTGACATGTCATTTTTACCATTCCCTACTTAAACAGTAGAAACATGAGGCCTTAAATGGCTTAAATAAGTAAAATACTGCCGCGAGCACAGCGACAGTTATGTGTCAGTTATGTGCAATACAATGGAAAGAAACGAACTCTGGCCACAGGTGGGACCTTCCCAGCCCTCTTTGCAGATGCAGGTGAAGGCGTCTCCTCCCCCTACACAGGTGCCACCATTGGAACAAGGACTGGAGGCACATGTGCTGTTCTTGGCTGTGGGAAGAGGGAGGATGAGCCCAAGATCAGAGGCACAGCAGACTTGCAGATACAGCAATCAAATGCAACAAGCTAAATGATTTTGGAGGAAAACATGCAACTACAGTTTTGCTTTATTTTCGGCCTTAAAGTTGGATACTTCTAATTTTTAGGATTTCTTTCTACCCAGAATGATCTCTTTTTAAAGATACAGAAAGGCTAAAGTCTTATACTCAGCAGCTCCTGAAGCAAAAACTGTAAGCGACACCATTGATTGTTAGCTTTCTCAAACACTTGTATGCCATCCTGAGGCCCCACCTGTGTTGCACGCATTTCCACCCCACGCAGGTGGGCATGCACAGTGGAAGGTATCTCCATGGTCATAGCATGTTCCTCCATTACTGCAGGTGGTTGCATCACACTGGCTTTCGCCTGAGCCAAGAAACACTGAGATCACACAATGTACAAATCCCCAAACACTTGTCATATTACAAACTATTGCCAGCAACAGCAAGAAAAGGATGATCCTTTTGATTCAACATGTTGAAACCATGTTTCACTTGTCAAAACATGTCGAGATGTATAAGCACAGTGGAGCTGTGCCCACTGCAAACTATGAACATAAACAGAGTCAACATAACTCACGGGAATGGCAGGTCTTGCCCTTCCAGTTGTCGGCACACTCGCAGACGAAGTCGTTCACTAGGTCAACGCAGCGTCCGCCATTCTTACAGGGGTTGTGTCTGCACTCGTCGATATCTGACAGTGAAGAAGATTTACATGATTCAATCTTTACTGTCTTTACTGCAAACAGAGGCTAGACCCCCAGGCGTGCCTTTTTTTAAATTAATGTTTCAAAGAATCATTCTAAGGATGAATAACAGTGAACGACACTGGAGGTGAGGAACTCACTAAGGTCACATAGTCGACCCTCCCAGCCATCAGGACAGAAGCACTGAAAGGAGTTCACACCATCAATGCAGGTCCCTCCATTTCTACAGGGGTTGCTGACGCAATCGTTAATATCTGAAATGGTAAGAGAGGCACCGTCAGCAAGACTATGCCGTGTTAGAAGATGATCCATTTTTCTTTTTTAGCAACATTTAACCCTCCATATTTGGCATTTAAAAGTACTTTATAAGCACTTAATAGTTTATAATGCAGGATTAATGGAAGCAAAAACAAGAAACTTGTAACTGTTTATTAATGCAGCTCAACTACTGAAATGATTATATACGAGAGCCATTTTATACTACATTTGTATTTCACGTGAAGTGGTTTTCATGTTTTATATGTTTATCACATTGACACTTTAAAGTAATAATACACGTTTGCAACAACATTATATTAAGGATTTATAAATACTTATAAATGCTAAATAGTGGGGGCTAAAAGGTTCAAATCTTAAACCAAGAGTTTCTCCATACTCTTGTGACAGTAGATGCCACTGAATCCTGGATCACAGATGCAGGCAAAGTTGCCAGATGGCTGGCTGATGCAGCGCCCTCGTGGACCGCAGATGTTGGAGGAGATGTGCTGCACTCCAGATGAGTCATTGGTTGCTACAGCAACAGTGCAGCTGTCAATCACTGCGAGGAAATACAAACATGGTTGAAATGTATTGCTTTTTTTGACGCACTAGTAGTCTGCTATATACTACACCATTACAGGCGGCTCCAGTCACCTTGACAAGGTGTGGTATGGCAGTTTGGCTTGAGCTGTTCACAAGTTTTTCCCTCGTAACCTTCCGGACATGCACAGTAGAAGTCTTGGCCCATACTGTAGCACTTGGCCTCATTCTCACAAGGGTTTGGATCACAAGCGTCTGAAGGGGTCGAGGTGAGGATCTATGGAAATCATGGAGAGGAAACCACTGCATTTACAAAAGAACCTTTACCATTTATGTTCAGACGTTTTCAGCAAAAACAAAGCTCTGATAAACCTGTTTACCAGCTACAGACAAATATTCTTTGTCAAGATTTGGAAATGGAGCTGAACTTTAGGAATTGATCACATGTCCATGTTGTACTTACAGCTGCCAAACAAAAACCTGATGTATGATTGACCAGGTTTGTTGAACAGCTTTCTTTTACAGTCATTTCCCCAGAAAGTGGTTAAACCCTAATTAGACATTCAAAACATTTGATTAAATTCAGACTTCCCAGCACCAACACTGCTCTGTGAGTGACAACAACAGCCTTGTGGGAGGTGAGATAGTTTCCAAGCAATCAAGCAAACTGAGTTGACCTTTGACCAGAAGTCTGCCTTTGTAACTTTTAGCCTACTGCTGCCACACTAACCAAAACATCACTTCACTTAAATTTATTTAGACTATCGAGTCTAACTAAATGAGCAATGGAGAAAGGAGAACTGAAGTCTGCGTAGGTGAGCGGCTTAACTTGGCCCAAGCCACCGCCGCTGTTCATCGAAGGTAAGTAGACGAGCACAGTAAGCCTCAGAAACTTCACCTAAGCTCATCAAGAGGATCCACGCTCTTGGTTTTACATTTCTGTCCTGCTTAATCTCACACGATTACTTGGAAACAAAAGCCTGGAGGAGAGGGACTGAGAAACTGAGCAGGCATGACAAAGAATAGGTGGAAATGCTAACTCTGGTCCAACATCATGAAGAAACCCAGTGAATGCAATAAAGACAAATCAGTCATACATCTTTTGCCATTTCTACTTGCTTCAGTACAGAGGTTGGAGTGAAAATCTCTCCGTTTGTGTAAACAGCAGCCTACTGTGCATAAACTCTGAGTTGCACCCTTTTGCCATTTAAGGTGCTGAACAAGAGAGTTCAGAGAAGGGCAACAGGGTGGTGGAGTCTGTGGTCACACAGTTTATTTTACTCTGTCAGGGCCAGATGCATTTTTTTTTCTTTATTATTCACACGTGTGTGTGGTCAGAGGATTGTGTCTGAGGGCAAGAGTGTCCATAAATCTTCAGCACATTATTGTAACAGCTCTGTTCATAGTAGCAGACAGGATGAGAATTCTTTTGTAGTGGAAAACCACGAGGCAATGTCACAAGTTAGTTGTAGTCAACCACAAATAAATTGTGCAATAAATCAAGACTTTTGATGACTGCATGTATGATTTAAAAGTCTTCTACACAACAAATACCGCAGGATAATTAAAACAAAATAAGTGTAAATCAATTAGTGGGTCTTGAAATTGGTGTGTGAAATCTTCTCATTTAGCCCAGGGTTTGCAAGATTTTTACAAAAAACTATTTGGAAAGCAGGTTGTAATGACGTTAACTCTAAAAACTGAAGGTGAGAGTTCAGGCTGAGGCCCATTTAGTAGCCATTCTTTGGTTACATCACTTAATGTTCATAATCAAATAAAGTTTTCCCAGCTGTCATAGAACTGCAGATGCTCACATTTGCATTATTCTGGGCACTTAAAACAACTTCCTCAGGAAAGTGATTAACTTTGCAAGTTACTTGGTCATGAAATACTGATCAAAATAAAAATTTTGACTTTATGATGGCTGTAGATTACAAGACCGTATCAGTTATGCCTAAACTAAATTTGATGACAATTCAGCGACAATTCATCCAGTCATTAGTGACATTTCTGGACCAAAATGGTGTACAGGTCAGCTGATGACTGACATTCCTGTCTAACAATACCAACTGGAAACTTTCTGGGTTCCTAAATTAATTCTACGAACACAACAAAATTCATAAACTGGCATTACATGAAGACAAGCACGTCAGCAGAGAATAAATGTTGTAGCTCTTTGCACTGTGCCTCCTAGAGGACTTGCGATGTGATTCAAGTGGCAATTGTTTCTTCTGAAGACATGGATCAGATCAGGAATGGGAAAAAAACAAAACAAACAAACCAACCACCACCAGTGCAAACGTTTATGGACTTAGAGATACTAATAGAAATATGAGCCTGGAGCAGCCCCTGTAGTTTGGCTCTGCAGGGCAGGAGTGTACACTGCCACAGCAGGCATCAGAGCTGTGTTGTATGTGAGCAGAAACCCAGCATCACCTCATTCAAACAGACTCATATTTATAGTAGAGCTGCTAAATCAGGACTGGCTCCTGACCAGCAATGTCCTCCATTCAGGGCCCAAGAGATACAGTGAAGTGTCGGTTTCTTCACTGCTAACCTACATTAGACTTAGACACACACTTCAAACAGAAAAGGGTTCTGAAATATGAATTACAACAGAGGTTTACAATAAAACCTGTGCTTGGCCCACTGGGTTGAGAATATACAGCCTTACACAACAATTAGGCAGACCATAACAGCGATTTGCTGGAGAGTGTGCAGTGGGCAACTGGCTCAGTGACTGCATTGTAATGGCTACTGCAGTTTGTTTATCTGTACGGCATTAAAAGTCACCGTGTACATTTTCTAAATTGCATGGCTGTCAAGTTAAGTGCTGATAAGCTTTTCACCAGATCATCAACACAGAGCAATGAGGTAAAAGCTTCAAAAAGAAGAAGAAAATCAAACCACAAACTCCTCAAATTATGTCACTTGTGCTTAATTTAGTTACGTCTCCACTGTAGACTTGCATTTGTACTTTTAGGGTACGTGTTTAAAAAAAACAAAAACAAAAAAACAAAAAAGTCAACCACCAACTTGTGAACTGTCACTGCATCGATAACATTCAGACACATGGAACATGTTATTCACCTCACAAAACTGCCCAGAAAACTCCGGGGAGCATTTACAGACGAAGCCGTTCGACACCGAGTGGCAACGGCCACCGTTCTGGCATGGCCTGCTGTTACATGTATTCCTCTGGATTTCACAGTGAGTGCCCATGAAACCGGGAGGACACTGGCAGTGGTAACCCTTTGTACTCTCCTGAAGAACACAAAAGTAAAAAAACATTTGGTGCAACTAACATCCATAAACTCATATTATATAGAAGTGGAAAATAATCATCCATACCTTGCATGTTGCTCCATTCTGGCATTGGCCATGGCAGCCACTGATGTCTGAAGAAGACATAAAACATTAGATTTTATTATTAAAGAGTATGAAAACATTTAAGTTTTCATACAGGAATGTATTCATTATTAGGTGAAATCTAAATTTTAGGATGTTAGATTAAGTCAAGGTTTGGAAAAGAAATCAATAATGAAGTCAAGAAAGCGCCTGGTAGATTGTAACTGGGCATGCACTGGATTCAGAGACAGCAACTGGGCGTGCAAATGCAGTCATGATACCAGAGCCTGAGCTTCAGCTTGCCAAGATGAGGAAGGAACAGGTTACCACATGTGGTAAAGTGAGTGGAGCTGATCTACACCTACAGCGTGATGTGTGTCCAGGAAGTGAGAGGAGGCAGTTAAAAGTAGAAGGCACCAGCGTAGGTCAGAAACTTAGGAGTTTGAGAAGGAAATACTGACTGATGTCACAGTTTTGTCCGGACCATCCCCGAAAACAGACGCAGTGGTATCCACCGATCAAATTTTTGCAAGAGAAAGCGTTCACACAGGGTTTCCTAGTACACTCATTTGCATCTGTGAAGGCAGGAGGTAGAAGGAGACCCATCCATCAAGTGAAACAAACCAAGGAAATGGCAAAAGACCAAAACTCCAAGTAATGAAGCCACACCAACACAAAAATGACAGAACTGGCACTACTGCAGAACTAAATACTAGCGTTGCGGTAAAAGGGGGCTGCAAAGGGAGGGTTGTAGGCATGTATGATATGGCCACCTTGTGATAAGTTGACATGAGTGGTCCTCTTTTTTTAAACTCTCAATGATACTTTGGTTTAATAATAATAAAGAAAAAGCTGTATACCGTATAGAGGGTGACAGGCTCCGCAATTTGGGTCTGGGGGAGTTTGGACCCAGAAGTGGAATGTTACGTCACAATTAACAAGTGGCTAATTACTAGACGTCTGTTTCTGATCAACTATTTAACCAAAAAGTGACTAATACAAAATGTGTGTTAAATGCCCATTAGACGTTTCTGGAGCCCAATGTTACACCTGCACGCCGTTCGTTTTATATGACGTCAGAGAAAACAGCTGTCACCCAGTTTGAGCTTTCATCTGTTCGCTAAGCATGAAATGAGCACAAACAGTTTCGCTTACAAACATTCGCCACCTCCAAAGACATCAAAAGTATTACAACAAAGAAAAAGCACTGCTGCTCAGATATTCAAAGGAGGGGGTGGGTGGAGGTGCAGTCCATGGGGAGTCCTGCCATGCTTGCTTACACACCTGTTTTCTCTCCGATATCCAACACCCTGCATACACACAATCACCAGGTAACACAGGAGGCCAATAGCTGCCAGTAAACTGAGATCTGAGCTGGAAAGGTGACACTGAACTCCTGGGATCTCCCCCCCCCCACACACACACACACTCTGTTCACCAGTTGTAATGCATTTCCTGATTTCACTTTGGTCACGTCTGCTTGTCGTGATGGAAATATTATGGAAATGCCATCGCCTGTGAGGCAAACAGCTGGACACAGACACACTAGTGCCTCCTAAAGTCACTGAGAAAACAAGGCGCCAAGCTGTGGGCAGCTGCCATCTCGTCTAGCTGGCTGCTAATTTCAATCCCAAAATAGTTTATCCAGAGCAGTGAGCAATGTCTGAGGTTATTTATTTGTTTTAGGAAATGGGCCAAACAGGAAAGAAATGGCTGCAAAAGGCCATCTCTCAGTAGAACCAGAAATCCCCAAAACAAGAAATACTACTAGTACTTTGTGTGTATACTGAGGTTTAAAGCTCACCTATCTGGCAGGTCCTTCCTTCCCACTGAGGAGGGCACACACACTCGAAGCCATCCTCCAGGTTGATACAAGTCCCACCTTGAGCACATGGACTGGACGCACACTCGTCCAGATCTGAGAAAACACACACTTCAACTCGTTACATGCCCTGTTTCAAGAAGGTGCTGCACTTTATGAACATGAACACAATGATGGCTAAATATTTTTCACCACCCCCCCACCTGAGGCATGGTTACCTATTAGTGTGTATTCAGAGGCTAATTAATTTATTAAGTGATCTACAAATGAACCCTGGTGGCTGGTCAAGAATATTACACATGTAAATATTACAAAGGAATATTCATTACAGAAGGGCGAATCAAAGATGCAGAGGAAAAAGTGGCCTAAACTGAAAGATGCAACTGAGTATTGACATGCATGTGCATAAAGGAGGAAGGGAAATAACTGTAAGTAGAGCAGCGACTCACTAGTGGCACAGGTCGGACCCCCCCATCCTGGTGGGCACTGGCACTCAAATCCGGCAGGAACCTTGTGGCATGTTCCCCCATTGGTGCAGGGGTTGGAGACACAGGCATGCTCAGCTGATGGAGGATGCAGAGGTGTGTTACAGAAAAAGAAGCATTACTAAACATTACGTATGGTACTTTGTTTTTATCGTTTCTAATGTATTACTGTATATACAGAATTTTTCATCATATGTTCAGTCCTGAAGTTGTTTATTAAAACATTGTCTACCTTCTTTGCTGTGTATTATTTTTCCCGAAAACCTACTGGAACCATCATTTGAATTAACTTTAACCAGGTAGAACAAGGTGAATCAAACAAAGAGGGCAGAGAATATACTGCATGGGACATGGAAGAAGAACCACCTTTATGCAAGTCCTCCACAGCTAACGTCTACCCTAACAGAAAGCAGAGTGGCGTCTCTCTCACCTATCTCACAGTTTTTGCCAGAATAGCCCTCTGGACATTTGCACTGGTACTCATCCGGTTCGGTGTTCATGCAGGTTCCTCCGTTGACACAAGGCTGATGGCGACCACAGTAATTCAGATCTGGAGGAGAACAGGAGGCAGAAACATTTAGATGCATCAAAACACTGATTCAGTGATCAGTGTTTCACACATTTTAGACCATACCTCCAAATTAGATTAAAGGAGCCATATTAATTCATCCAACCTGCCTGGTAAAATAAATCAATCGGTGATGAAGACTAATCCCCGCACATATGCATCATGATTCTAAACACACAGCTTTCTCAAGTCACAAATAAATCCATTTATACTGTGATTTAAGCCTTGTTATGCTGTACACCAGTGCAAATTCTACTTCTCTGCTGATGCAGACTAAAATGCTGACTCGGCCTTGGAGCATGTCAAGATGCAGACAGTGATAGCAACAGTAGCATCAGCAGGCGGCAGCCCTGGTTGTAATCGCAACAGCTTATTTTTGGGAGCATTTATGCCTTCATTAGATGGTGACAGCAGAGAGATGATAGGAAACAAGGGAATGAAAGATGGTTCCTGGCTGGACTTGAACAAGGGACAAGGCAGTGTCACTTCTTACGTTTTATTGATTCCAAGAGAAGAGCTGAGAGAATTAAAAGCAGCCCTCTGCTGATAAATGAACTCACATCAGTCTGTCTTGGCACAAATACTCAGTTTAAGTGGGAGTTTTACAGTGATCAGTCAAGTTGATGAAATTTAATGCGACTGAAAACCTGTTCATACAAAATACAATGACAATATTTGGCTCCTACGCCTGGTAGCTGCCTTCCCTCCTGTGCACACCATCCTTAAGGCCAGGTCACTCTAAAGGCTGGTAAATAAATGAGTAGGGATCTTTCTCCACTGAGGATCTTAGGAGCCATTCTCATCACCTAGAGAGCCCTCAGCGATGAAGGGATGCAGGGGGATCGAGTGTCCCTGCTGCTGCTCAGATCACACAGGCAGTAAAACTATCCAGCCGCTGTTCTCCGGTCAAGAGAACAAGGAGTAAAGTGAATTTGGACCTTATGTGAAGGGAAATTCTTTGAAATGATGTAAACTATAACATTTTTAAAGCACCCTTCAAAACATCCTAAAGCCCAAGGTGACTACTTGAAATGGTTTTTTGTTAGATCAAAAGAAGAGCAGCAAATTCTCACAACTAAGAAGCTGCAAAGAGGACATGTTTGCTGAAAGATGACAATCATTTAATCATAATGTTTGCAAATTAACACTAAGTTGATCAACTATTTTATTATTCGACTCCACATCTCAGGTCTAATCATGTCACACTGGGTCACAGGTCGAGACCATTCACAAAGCTGAATCCACTAACGTTACAAATTGTAGTGGAGTTTCAAGTCGGCTTAATTTTAGTTTTCCACATTTTTAAGCTGCTCAGCAAAAGAGAACGATGGTGCAAGCAAATGACTGAGCGGCAGTACTATTACAGCGTTTTGAATGGTAATATACTGCAATACCTCTTCAAAAGCGGTTTCTTTTTGCATCTCTGCTCTGAGAAACTGCAGCTGGAGGGGACAGGCAGATCAAAACTGAGGACTGTGCCAGCGTCTTGTGTGGGAGGTGACAGGGAAAATAAGGTTTCCATACCTTTATCACACAGGAGGCCACCCCAGTTCCTCTCACAGTTGCACTGCCAGGGGACGTTGCAGGTTCCGTGGACACAGCCAGGATAAACGGCACAGTCATCACAGAACTGGCCCTGCCAGCCATAATTGCACCTGTCAAATGTAAACAATATCAACTGTTTTGCACCAAGCGCTGCTACTAGAAGACGCAGACAAGAGATATAAACCTGACAGAAAGCATGACTGGTGAACTTTATTTTAATCAGTGAAACACGAAGACATATCTGACAATCCTGTTTGTGTTGGGGAAGGAAGGCACAGCGGTTCATAGACGAAGTGGCTGCAGACAACTGTGTGTGTATACAGCGTATATTTGCACGCTCCTGCAGCTTCATGACAGCGCTTGGCCACTGAGGCTGTGGTGCTGTTGAACCAGCTGTCTTGTCAGTTCACTGCTATTTTGAGTCTCCTGCAGACAGCACCGCTGCCTCTCAGAGAGACGAGGCCTTTAGAAATCTCTACCATTCTCAGGCCCAGGGGTGCAGGGGCATTTGGGAATGGTTGGCATGCTTCTTCCACTGTATATGATTAGCTTCACAGGGTAACATTAACAGACCTTTGTCAAGGAGACCACTTTTTTAAGATTGAAGGCATCAGAAGAGTCAGTGATATCAGAAGTACTCAACCTGTCACGGGTACAGGCATGATGTTTCTTTTCAACTTAATTCCAGCATCTTGGCACCCTGACATGACGAAGGTTGCAAAATGCTGTGGTAAAAAAAATTTCTTTGGCTGCTTAACCAAGAGATTCTTGGAAGCCTCTGACAAATGTGTCGGTACAAGCCTAATGTGTGCTAATAAAAATCCTCAATGCAGCAGCCTATTGGCAGGCATGCACCAGCTTTTGTGTTGGCGAACGAGTAAAACCCATAAAACTGTGATGAAAGGAATAAGCAAATAAAAGGAATGAAAAGGATTAAAGGCCAGCTTTCCGTGACCCGAGGCTCAGTTAAATTCATGCCACTGCAGGAAAAGCCTTTACTGCTGCTTCTTTATTCAAGTCACTTTTCCCGTTGACCTTTTGCAAGAATAAGAAGTTTCTCTCTGACATCTGTCTGCTAACTGGAATAAGGATGTGAGCCAGTTTCCTAAAACTGCTCATCCCCATGATTCCTCAGCGCAGAGGCAAACCTGTTTTCCTAATAATGGGAGGCATGTGTCCCTGCATCCGGCAGGTGGGGGGGGTTTACAAACGGGATGTACCACATCCTGGAAACATGGACTTATGGGGGCCACCCTACATCACTTTATCTAACTGTCCGTTCCACTTTGGGAAATGTAAATATCACAGTGGGATATTCATTTCCTCTTCCACTCCGTGGCCTTTTAAAAAAAAAAAAAAAAAAAAAAAAAACTGCAATGCAGATGGGGAAGGGATACGACAATTCCAGACATGTTTACGGTGGTCAAATTCACACACCGACAACTCTCGAGCTCGGACCGAGCCGCAGAGAGCTGATGAGATGCTTGGTATTCTGTGGAGGATTTTGTGTGGCTAAAAATACAAGAAGGCAGGCGTGACACAGCCCGCTTCTTCTGAACTGAAGTGGAGATGCCCACAAGAAAAAACTGACACACACACACACACAAAACAGGCTTTGGCAAATAAAGGTGCCATTGCTTAGCATCTACAATACATCTATATTACAACCACACCATCAAAATGTACATATGACTTGATCTAAACACAAAAGCAAGCAGTGCTTTAAAAGACACAAAACATCTGCAGTCACATTTCTGTTTAAGAGACATCTTCCTACTAATCTTACTTGCATTCCCCGGGGAGAGAGCAGCCGCCTTGTACCAGGTGACAGCCTTGCTTGCAAATTGCTGACAAAGAGACAAGAAGAGAGGAACCATTTAGATGATATTTAAATTTCACCGGGAGACACAGGTACCACTATATTTCTAGTCATAAAAAACCTATACTTAAAAAAAAGAGACGCAAGTGAAAAAGAAGGGAGGAGACGCTCATTTGTTGGCAATGTTTGTAACAAGTGCAACAAAACATGAGAATTCAGGACACTGTGACTTGGGACGGGGGTGAGACAGGACAATTTTACAACCTGAACGTACAATGCTAAACCCCTCTTAAAACCAACCAAACTCCTCTGTGATCCCCCTGCTCCTTTCTCCCTTTGTCTTCTGGGTGATTTAGTGGGGCCCCCCCACTCTCTGCGACACCACCCACAAGCACAGTCCTAACACTACTGCATCGTCACATAAGCAGGCTGCATATCCACCACAGATGTGGGTGACTTTAGACTTACTTAGGCTGAAGAGAATTTCGTTTCCCCAACTTGTTCAACTGTGTATTCATAAACTAATTTGCAATATACACAAATCAGTGAGACTTAAAAACCGTCAGCACTTGCAGCCATCTTTTTGTGATGCTTGAGTACGCTTTGGGATCAGACTGGTGGACTGAATACAACAAGAAACTGATGCTGGGAGCTCACCTGTCTTGCACTCTGGGCCCATCCAGCCATCTAGGCACACCTGGGCTCCTGAAGGCTCACAGCGATAGTGGCCGACGAAATCGTCACGGGGGGAACACAGCTTATTGCACTTGTTGCCGTAGTAGTTCTCGTCACACCGCACCCGGAGGAGGAGAGCCACGGGGCCGTCGTTTAGGATGGTTTGCCACTGGTCACCAGGGTTGATCATGCCTGTGCGAGTGCTGCGTTCAATCAGCAGCTCGTCATCTTAAAAAACAAAAAAAGACCAAGATAAAAATCAGTTGTGAATATTTTGTTCTGATTTGACCACAGATGAAATAAAAATATGACCATAATACCAGTTTGTGGGGAAATTAAGCCTAGGTACCATCAAGTTTAAGCACGACTCATTCGTCTCCCACACAGCTTGGAATGACCCTCTAGGTATAACAAAATTAAATGTTGCATCATGAGCAGGCAGAAAATGTCATAGCTCCCAGAATATTTTACATGCCAATACAATCTAACATTGTCAAAATGCCATCCTGTGCTGTCATTTATCATCAAATCAGAACATACAACACATCACAATCTAAATGAATTGAAAGCCAATATATACTTTTTTGTGCAGCAGTCCAAATTCTGTGAAAAGCTCCTTTCAAATTGTTTTGTTCATGGGACATGGGTGGCGTGGGAAGGATTGAGACTACACATTAAATTTTTACAGTCACTGAGCTTAGCAACTGGTTCGCTCAGGTTTGGATTTCTGGTTCTCCAACCTGAGAAACTTAGGAAACACTGGCTGGTTGCCTTGATGTGAGAACTGACAATACTCCAGGGCTGCACTGAACAATGCCTGGACTATTAATGGACACCGGTTTCTTACAATTTAGATTTGCTCTCACTACCTTTTTAAATAAGCAGATACTGTAAATAAACCGAGAACAGCAACAACAACCAGTGACATCCAACAAAACTAGTGCTGGGAAGTTTAATTCCTATGGTTACCTGGGATGTGTACAAGTTACTAGGCAACATGAATTGAACCTTTTGGGTTTTTCAGTATATGTGCCTATATGGCCACTAAAGGTCAGGCAAGCTGTGTGCTCCTTGACTGGTATCACATGAAAGTAAAGCATTTTTTTTGTCCTCCCACTGGTATAAGCTTTATTTAGCTGATCCTTTACAACATCACAGAATGGTTTACTGTCTGATATTGCTGGTTTTTACTTATGCGTGTATTTGTCAGTGTCAGGCTTCTGCATGCAACATGTGGCTATTTCCTGGTGTCAGTACAAACCAGTGTAAACTTGATTCATAGCAAACCACCTATACACACTCACCCCAATTCGTTCAATTTGGAACAGCACTAAGCCAAATCCTGGTTTAATAAAACGATCGCACATGACGCAGTGAAAACACGATCAAACAGCAAGCAGACTCAGAAAACAAATGGCTGGTGAACATAATGGAATATTTAGCAGCTAAAAAGACAAGACAGGAGTTGGTCGAAATCACAGATGAGAGCCAACACAACTAAAAGACTTTTGGACTTACATTTGACAGCTGGTTAAAAACGACTGCAAACAAAAACTGATATGGCGTATTTACAAAGTAAGGAGCAACTATGAGCTAACTAGTTAGCCATCATCATACTTGTAAGCAGACAGAGGTCCCAGCAGCTACTGCAATTAGTAAGGTGATAACAATGAATTATCTGAAACCCTGACATTGATCTGAAATCTCCTTTATTCTCATGTCAAGTCACTCCCTCATAAAGAATAGCAGTGCATTCTTATTCAGCAGACACTCTGATATCACATTGTGTCTGTGTGAGGAAAAGGACCCACTGAATTTTAAGTATGCAATTGAAATTCACTGTCTGAAAATTGATCTATTTTCTGGTGGTAGTACGCATCACCACTGCCTCGGAGCTCTCTGTGCACGGTTATGTCAGGAGGTTGCTACTGTTTAGCCTCTAGCACGCCAACAATGTTCGTCTCTGTGGGGTCTGCTTCAGCACCAGCTTTCATAAAGAAAGCAATCTTTATCACAGTGAGAAAACAATCTCTGTGGAAATAGGGGGCCTGAGTTCCTTTTCTTCATGCTATTGGGCTGCAATGCACCATATATATTTTGGAAATGAGCAAGCAGGAACGAACACGCACACACACACACACACACACACACACACACTTTCCTTTGCTGAGGACTGACACAATGTCAGACAGACTTAAACAACAAAAACAGAAATAACTCCCAGCAGTTGCCAGATAGAGAACAATGAACTCCCGGTCCAAGCTGGGTTCTGCTACGTCGGTGTCTAAACACTGAGCCCGGCCGCTCAATCCACCTCACTTCCTGCTCGATAAACACAAGGAAAACAGCCGGCTGCCTTTCCTGAGTACACAAGGGGAAGGGAAGAGAGGCACACCGGAGGACATGACACAGGAGGAGAGGAATCTCACTGACAGACCAATGCACTGGTAGGCTCTTACGTAGGACAAGACATGATGCCGGTGCTGACTCGGGCCAGAGAACGAACCTAGATGGCTATGGATCAACCTGAAGTAGCTACATGCTTTCTCCCTCCTCTGTTCTGCCTTTTAGTGCACATTATTCAGCAGGTGGTCCGTCTTTAACTGGATTTTCACTTTACTCTTAAAATGTTTGGAGGTCCCACTGTAGTAGCCACCAGCATCAAAAACCCACATGTACAGTACTACACATTTTGAACAATAGACTCTGTTACAAAAACATTCAAGTGGCAGGATTTGAATGTGCAGGTTCCTGTTTTGTCTGAGCGTAACTGAAGGAAACTGGTGGACATTCAGTCTTCAGTGCACTAGCCGTTTGTCCTGCTAATGACACCACATCAGTGAAGTTGTCATCTGCAGAAGGAAAACCTACAGCGCAGCCAATCAATCAAGCAGCAGCTCTATCGCTAAATAGGAGTTCATACCAAACCCATACCATCACCACCTTCCTACAGCTTAGCATCTGTCTGAGTCTCTCTGCAGATACCAATTCATATAAATAAATTCCATACCAGTGCTGTTTACCCTACTGTTTTACCAATGTCATTCTGAAAGTTAAAGTTATCAAATAAATCTTGTGAGTACAAAAAAATGTATTCTGAAACAGTGAACAGAAGTATGAATTAGCAGAAATCAGAATCGGCTTTGTGTGCTGAACACATGAGGAATTTGATACACTGCCCCTCTGTCAAGCTGAATTTATACTTGTCACTGTATGTAAGGAAGCATGTGTGTTTGTTATTCAGACACAGTTGCATAGCTGTGGCATTTATACTTCTAGAAAGTTAAAGGGCTCCAACATTTTCAGAGATGCAAGTACCCCATAGCAAGCGCCCACGTCTCGATCGGACCTACTTTAACCCATAAACCCCATGCATTTGGACAATAAAAACAAAAATACTCAAGTTTAGAACAAATACCTCTAAACTGTACTTAAGTACAGTACTTTGTTACTTTCCACCTCTGGTCCTGACAGCTACAAGCTCCAGTCTGCGGTTAAGATACAGCATAGCAGACTCGTAGAGTCAAAGTCAGCTGATGTCTGTGGCGTTGCAGCGGTCTCAGTTCTGCTTTTGAACAGCAGGCAATACCGAATAAATCAAACCTGCATTGACTTCAGAAGTCGTCCCCCCCACTTTCCTTCTACATTTTGACATACAGTACATTACAAAACAAGCACCTCAGTGAAATGAATCCATCAAAAGGCTGAAAATGTGCTTAGTGCATCCTGACACCCAAACCACATCCATTTTGCTTCTTTAGCCTCAGCCAAATAAAAGTACTAGTAGCTGGCAGAAAATCAATTGAACAGTTTCCCAATTGTATTATATCAACCAGAAACGTCATAGTAATGACTGTAAATGTACACAAAGAAAGTGGAGACTACAACAGTACGATGTCAAAATCTATTTCTTCTCCATTGTTTGCATTGACAAGTGGAAGTGAACTTGATGTTATGGACAAAACAGGATGTAATGACCTCAGATATACAGGGCAGGTTTTTACCATAGAATACATTCAAGCTCATTCTTAGATGCACAGAAAGGTATGAAAGACTCTTGAAAAATGCCACCATCTCCACGGATCAAAGCCACATCCACACATACAGGCACCGGGTCCTCTTCCTCCTAGACTGAGCTACTGCTCAGACGGGAAAATGGGGTTGTACAGGAGTCCACCCAGCGGACATATCCGAGGGAAAACAGGACACAGCTGGTCAGAGCTGACTGCCAGAGCCAACAGAGCTAACAAGAACCAAAGCTTACAGTCTGTATGAGGAGTCTTGGGAAGTTACAGTGACCTGCTACCTGCAGTTCCTACTTACAACACAAAACAGGTCTAGTGAGTTAAAGATTTGAAGCAGAATTAATGATACAGTTCTCAAGAGACAAATATCTTTAAAAACCCCATCACAGCTAATGCTACATTCCAAATAAAGCACTTATGTCTTAGGTCCTTATATATAGGTCAACTTTGACTTGTCACCTAACATATACATATATTATTTATTTAACCAATAATAACCAGCAAATCCCACTGAGGTTTAGGGCAGCATCATTTAAGAGAGTTTAAGAGACAGTGGCATCATTAGTTCCAGAGCAAAAAGCAAACAAACCAACCACTAGAACAATGCATAAAAGTGAAGTGCCAAGAACAAAAACAAGCCATTCAAAGAGATGAATGGTTTTGAATTGTGTCAATAATATCAAGAATCACTTAACTTCCCTCTGCAAACTCTCTCCCATCTCTGTCCAAAAACACAACAGATGTGTCTAATGCCAAAGATCTACTGGCAATAGCTTTGATACAGTGCCTTGCGAAAGTATTTGGCCCCCTTGAACGTTGCGACCTTTTGCCACATTTCAGGCTTCAAACATAAAGATATAAAACTGTAATTTTTTGTGAAGAATCAACAACAAGTGGGACACAATCATGAAGTAGAACGAAATTTATTGGATATGTCAAACTTTTTTAACAAATAAAAAACTGAAAAATTGGGCGTGCAAAATTATTCGGCCCCCTTAAGTTAATACTTTGTAGCGCCACCTTTTGCTGCGATTACAGCTGTAAGTCGCTTGGGGTATGTCTCTATCAGTTTTGCACCTCCGTATAAATGCACCTGCACTGTGATAGTCTCAGAGGTCTGTTTAAAGCGCAGAGAGCATCATGAAGAACAAGGAACACACCAGGCAGGTCCGAGATACTGTTGTGGAGAAGTTTAAAGCCGGATTTGGATACAAAAAGATTTCCCAAGCTTTAAACATCCCAAGGAGCACTGTGCAAGTGATAATATTGAAATGGAAGGAGTATCAGACCACTGCAAATCTACCAAGACCTGGCCGTCCCTCTAAACTTTCAGCTCATACAAGGAGAAGACTGATCAGAGATGCAGCCAAGAGGCCCATGATCACTCTGGATGAACTGCAGAGATCTACAGCTGAGGTGGGAGACTCTGTCCATAGGACAACAATCAGTCGTATACTGCACAAATCTGGCCTTTATGGAAGAGTGGCAAGAAGAAAGCCATTTCTTAAAGATATCCATAAAAAGTGTTGTTTAAAGTTTGCCACAAGCCACCTGGGAGACACACCAAACATGTGGAAGAAGGTGCTCTGGTCAGATGAAACCAAAATCGAACTTTTTGGCAACAATGCAAAACGTTATGTTTGGCGTAAAAGCAACACAGCTCATCACCCTGAACACACCATCCCCATTGTCAAACATGGTGGTGGCAGCATCGTGGTTTGGGCCTGCTTTTCTTCAGCAGGGACAGGGAAGATGGTTAAAATTGATGGGAAGATGGATGGAGCCAAATACAGGACCATTCTGGAAGGAAACCTGATGGAGTCTGCAAAAGACCTGAGACTGGGATGGAGATTTGTCTTCCAACAAGACAATGATCCAAAACATAAAGCAAAATCTACAATGGAATGGTTCACAAATAAACATATCCAGGTGTTAGAATGGCCAAGTCAAAGTCCAGACCTGAATCCAATCGAGAATCTGTGGAAAGAACTGACAACTGCTGTTCACAAACGCTCTCCATCCAATCTCACTGAGCTCGAGCTGTTTTGCAAGGAGGCATGGGCAAAAATTTCAGTCTCTCGATGTGCAAAACTGATAGAGACATACCCCAAGCGACTTACAGCTGTAATCGCAGCAAAAGGTGGCGCTACCAAGTATTAACTTAAGGGGGCTGAATAATTTTGCACGCCCAGTTTTTCAGTTTTTTATTTGTTAAAAAAGTTTGAAATATCCAATAAATTTCGTTCCACTTCATGATTGTGTCCCACTTGTTGTTGATTCTTCACAAAAAATTACAGTTTTATATCTTTATGTTTGAAGCCTGAAATGTGGCAAAAGGTCGCAAAGTTCAAGGGGGCCGAATACTTTCGCAAGGCACTGTACAGTGATGCCATTGCCAGCTAGGACCTTTATTCTTTCTAATGGCAGAATGTCCTACTCAGCCTTAGTTCTTTAAAATCCAATCTTAAGTGATACTTACTAAAAACACTGACTTATGAATATCATATATGTAACAGCGTTACATTACTTTAAACTTTCAAGTACTGATACAGGTACTGGTCTCCAAAATAAATTGGTTGTGCTATATTTTAACCTTGACCAAAAACTTCCTGAGAATTTGTTAAGGAGCCAACCTCACCCACTCATACTAGCACATCATGGAAGGCACAGCGTGCACATGTGTGTATGTGAAGTCTTGCTGTTACTTACTGCTGCGTGTGGTGTTGTCGTCCCAGTCCCAAGCCTCTACAATCAACGTGTACGTCCGCTTGAAAGAAAAGAAACAAAGACAAGTCAAAAAGAGTTCAGTGAAATATGGACAAAATCTTTTTAAATTCACATCATAAGGCTGAGGGGTCTGCTCATTTCTATGCACAGAAACCGAGTCTGAACATCTGTGACTGTATGCTGCATCAAAAACAGTCAGCACGTGCTCCTTTAGAAATAATCTTTGTAGTAAACAGCGTCTCAGATTGCCTTTGACGCGACTACATGGAAAGTAGGATATTAAGCACCAAGCAACAAAACATTAGTTGCACCTCAGCACAACAACCGTAACAGCTGCTGTACTATCAGAAGTTCTACAATGCAAGTTCCTTTTCCTTTCACTGACCACTGTTACTATAGTCACAGAACACATGTATTCCAACATTTCTATTCTTAGAATGTAAAGATGTTGTCTGAAGTCAATGTTTTATCAAATTTTTGAGAGAAATCAACGCCACATCTCAAATTACTAGTGTTAATGACTATGTAAAGTCCGTCTCTAGTCTCAGCTATAAAACCAGGAACTCTTTACAGAGGGCCTTTATTTTGTTCCTAAACTCAATGACAAGTAAACATGACCCATAATCATAGCAAACAAAAAATGGGGAGCATTTTAACTACTGTTGTGCAGTTCCTCTACAAAGACAGCAGACAGACACACACACACACACACACACACACACGATGCTACAGTAGCTACAGTTTAAACGCTACTTGGTCCTGTTACACAGAAGTACGCTTGAGTTACACTGATATTGAAACCCAATGATTCATATATACAAGAGCGAACAAGATAAGGCAAGAAGAACTGCCGGAAGAAGCTAAAAAGACGCTGCAGGCTGCCTGTGCAGGACGCACCCCAGCTGGGTTGTGAGTGGATTTTAGCATTGGTGATACAAACATTCTGACAACCAAACCTGGCGCCATCATGGAGTTCAACTGAGGAGAAGGCAGAGATACGCAAAGATGGAACAATTAATCAACAACTCCGCCAAAGCATCCAGATTTTCATTTTGCTGAATGACAACCCCAAATTACTTCATATAGTCGTTTGCCCTTCTATAGTGTGTGAAACTGGGCAGAGACTGCATTTTTATTAACCTTGTACATTTTGTTAACTCACCACATGTTTTAAATCATCCTTTCTACACAGACAAAACCTGCTCACATTGGACATTCATGACATGAAGCTCAAACCGAAAACAAGGCCCTGGTCAGTTTCATCCATTGTCAAATCCAATAAAATCTATTTAAAATGAATGACGCTAGAGCCTGGAGGTGGTTAGGTTAGCTTAGCATAAAGACTGGAAGCAAAGGAAAACTGCTAGCCTGGGTAAAGAAAAAGCCACCGAGCAGCACCTTGAAAGATTATTTCCATTATTGACTAATCTGAAAGTTATTTTCTCAATTAATAGATTGTTTGGCCTATAAAACATCAGAAAAGGTGAAAAGAATAAATTT